CATTTGAAACATTTTAGCGTGTTTTTCCATTCAGCTGAAACAGTAAAAATATAGAAAAATTGCCACAAAAACATAATTCGGCTGAAAAACAAAACAGGCAAAAAAAAAAAAAAAAAAAAAAAAGGGGGGGGGTTCGCGTCAGGAAACTGATTGGTTTAAAACAGGGCTTCTTAAACTTTTTTTCAGTTGTGACCTTTTTTTATCATAGATTTTTTTTAACGACCCCAAAATATTTACGAAAATTTTGTGGGACCCCATAAGCATTGTGAAAATCCGACACGCACGTGAGTGAAACTGTCAATTTTTTCACTTGTACTGTAAGATAATATGGCAGCTTTAGGTCATTATCTTTAATTTCTCATTTTAAGACATAAAACAATGTGAAAATTTTAATTAAGTAACAGATGAAATGACAGCGTCATGTGCAAAGCAAGTAAAATGAACATTTATATTATAAAAAGAATGCGTTGAAACATTTTTGTTTTTCTCTTTGTCTGTATTGTCTTATCTTCATCTATTTTCAGATACATTGCGTAAAAATATTCGGTAATTGTAAAATTATTATATTAAGTTTAAGAAATACCAAAACTACTAAAATTTTTTTCTAACTGAGTGTAAGTGACGGAACTAAGACTACTAAAATCAGTTCTATGGAAAAAAATGTGCTGCCGCGGCCGGAAATAAAGTATTTTTATTTTAATTCTTGCTGCCTAAGATAGTTTCTTATTTAATTTCAAAGCCTAAGATAGTTTCTATTTTAACCTGGAAAATTATTGAGCAATAAACTAAGCAATTTAAAAGCAATAAACGTAGTTAAGAATATTTTTTTTCTTTTTAATGTGATTGATTTAAATAAAACTGCATTAAAATCACGAGATCTCTAATTAGAAAATTCAATAATTTTGTGAAATTACACTACCTGGACTCATTAAAAATCATTATATATTTTTCCTTTTTTTATGATAAGCATTTTAAGCAGCTAATTTTTAAAGAAATAGTCATGTGAATATAAAAATATGTATGGCAGCTTTGCGAAGAACGTGATGTTTAATAAATATCTAAAATTAACAAATACATGTTATTAATAAAAAGACCCAAAAATAAAAACTGTAAGCCATCTTATTAAAACCTGAACATTTGATATGATGAATTGAGAAAAAACTAGGGACGGGGAATGTATGTTCACACTTAACACTGCGTCGTGAATTTTAAAAATTTGCTGCTATGCTGCTTAAAAAAAAAAAAAAAAAATTATTTTGTAGTTGAATTATATATGCTTAATAATAAAGCTAGAAAAACACACACACCAATAAATAAATAAATAATAAAAATAAAAATAAAAAATAATAATAAAACAAAATTGGATTAGCAAGAGCAGGCTGGTAGACTTCGAGTTCAGCGAGAGCATATAAAAACCTTAACAAACCCTTTTGGGCGTCTGTTGAAATATGAAAAACCTTTGTGTGTGTGTGTATTTTCTCCATTCATTTACCCTTAAAGAGTGTTTTCGTACGTATTTTCTCTTGCGACTGAGTGAGAAAATGTATTACCATGTTTAGTTTGATAATACTGTGCACGTGTAGCGTAACTATAGAGAAATTATTAGAGAAGCTGTATTGTCTATTTGCACCATTTTCGGTGCTACTTTGGTAGACGGTTGGCATATAAGCATTCTTTACCGCGCTACGCACATAGGGCAAAATCCAGACTTGTGATTGGACATACTTTCCGATAACACCGTTTTCTCTTGGCGTAATGACGTTTAGGCGGGTTTCTTACGGTTTTGTTTTCGTTGAATGACGCGCATGAGTGACACTGAAGCGTGAAAATTATCGTTTGTTTTCTTTGAAACGAAAAAATTTAGCTGCAGTGTTCTACAGATGGCGTCCTGTTTCATGGAATAATAAAATTATAAAAATCTTTCAATGATGATGTTAATATCAAAAGCAATCTTACATGCTCAAATTATATAAATAGCTGAATGAATTTAGTGCAAAAACCAAAACAAGACGATCTTGATCCAACTGTTTGTGTGCTAGTAAGTATATTATTATTATTGCACTTTTGTTGCAGTCTGTTTCTTTCACATTGCAGAAAATAGTTCCCTTGTAAATTTTATGGTTTTTTTTCATGTTAATATCCATGCCATTCTAATATATCTGTTGCTTTAAATGAAAGAAAAAAGTGAATTCAGTACTGTCGCTAAATTTAATACACGTATAGCAGAAAAGAAACTTCTCTAGCAAACATATTTTTATGCAAAGATACAAAAGATGTTACACATTAAAAAATGGCAATATTCGTAAGGTAATATTATTCAATTTAAAATACGTATCTCTATTTCTGTGTTCCAAATCTATATTAGTCTAACTTCAAAAATAAATTTTACTTTTTCAGACTGATTATAAGTATTGTGAATTTATTGTGTACCTGTGTAATGTTAGCTTCCAACGTCGTTTTTGCTATTTCCGAAAACTGACTTATCTCATGCTTTCGCAGATTGCATCAGCAGAGAATGGATATATAATGAACAGGAAATATTTAATTCATAATCCCAACATTTTTAATATTAAGGGATTTAAATTAAGAATACGTTCATTAAAAATATCTGCACTTAATATTAATACACAGTTACGGAGTTAGCACGAGAAGAAATGCCGTATTTGACGTCATATAAGACGCACTTTTTTTCCTAAATTCGGTCTCAAAAAAGTTACCTGCGTCTTATACGTGAAGGACACAGGTTAACTTTCAATACTGAATGCTATTTTTAGCCCGGATAAAGATCTAGACACACATAACTTTTTCTACATCTGCCATAATTATTTTATCAGGTTTAACTAAATTTTGCCGAAAGGCTGGATGGACGAAGCTGGAATGAAACTGTGGTTACAGAACGTATGGGCGAGGCGACCTGGTGGACTCTCAAGAAAACCCTCTCGAAGAAGGTGATACTAGCGATGACGGAAACAGTAGTGATGACGATATTCTCGTTTTCGATGATGATGATAGTGAAAAGGATTTTTATGGTTTTGAAAGTGATTAAAGTCTAATTTCATGATAGGCAACGTTTTCCTTGAATCTGTGTTTTTTGTTGTTTCTGCTTTATTTTGTATTATGTTTGACTGCTTGCCGTTCATTCATTTATTCATTATTGAAATTTTCATATGATGTTCAAAATAGCTTGCCGTTTGTTAATTTTCCTTTTATAAAAATATGTTTGGTAATTGCATTCAATGAATGTTTATTTAGCTTTTACGAAACGTGAGAACTAAAAGAAACCACATTTTAAGTTATGTCGTGCGGACTATTGAAACTTTTTTTCCTTGTGTGTGGCCTTCTAAATAAGCGTGCGTCTTATATGCCGTCAAATACGATAATACGTTTTCTCTCTAGGAATAAAAAAATCACTATATTTTTTATATTAAATTCCCCAAACTACTGTGTTGTAAGAAGTGTAATCTCATAACAACAAAAATACAACGTATGTAATAATTTTTTGGGTACTGTTTTCAAAATGTAAGCAAAAAGGTATGGAGGTGTACCCTCGAGCCCAAGCAAAGTCAAGACGTTCCAAAGCGTAGAGGAAATGATGCCATCGGAAGCCATATCCAAATACGAGCAGGGATTTTTCTCTATGTGCGTGGCGCGGTACGGAATGCGTATATGCAGAAGGTTGCACGGATTTTGGCGAGCGATACGAATTATGGTAAATCCATTCCTAGACAAGTTATTTATGGTAACCAATACTTTGTTGTCATTTTATTTTAAAAAATAATGCGTTTTATTATGCATAAATTCCGTGTTTTAAATATTGTTTATGGCTTCTAAATATTAAAAATCAATTTAATTTTGCATTTTTATTTGAAATATAAAATTTTGTTGTTTATGATATTTTATGTTGTGGATGATGTAATAAATGACGTCACATTACTTTAAAAGTAATTGGTTTTAATATCTATAAATTTAATCTAATGTTTTAAACCTTATTTATGGCTGTTAAATATTAAAATACAATTTAATTTTGCATTTTTTTAAAAATGATTTTACTACGTATGATTATTTAAATATCTTTAATTCTATTCGTGATGTAATCAGCTTCCTGATTGGTTACAAGATATTTGTGCATTAACGAGCTGTATAGCTCCCTGATTTTTTTAAAATTGTTTATATCTTTTGCAATATCAGATTTTAATTACTTACTGGAACTAAGGTTTTCATTATTGTGTGGAGGCTAGCTTCTTTTTGCTTTTTATCAAGACCCAAATAAGAGCAGAACTTTATTCTACTGTAGTAATGAGAAATTTAATTTTATAAAAATGAAGGTTAAATTTTTATTGTTTGCTAATGACAACATCATATCTTTAAACAGATCAGTCAATAGCGTTTTCTTACAATGTAGAGTAATTAGATTTGTCGAAGCGGGAAACATGAAAAATGTGCAACGCCTTTGTCGTTGTGCAACGTTGAACTTCGGACCTGTCGGTGCTAGATGTGCCTTCAAAAATAATCATGAGTTTTTTTTAGCTATAATGTGAAGGCACTCGGTAAAGAGGGAGAAAATGTGTTAGAACGTTATTAAAACTAAACTGTAAAGTGTGAATTCTTTCTGTGCTTTTACGAAGTATTTATTTGCTTTTATGAAGTGTGCGCTGCACCTACTTTATAAACACAACTAATAAGCTTTTACCCTTTAATTGGCAAACTGTGAAAAGTAAGTAAAACTTTTGTGTGTAGTAAAACTTTTTTGAGGTGAACATACTAAAGTAAGTAGATATGTATAATATATTTATGTCTGTTGGTTGCTTAACTTGATATTGAATGACAGCAACAATGCCAAATAACAGTCATTTGGAGTTTTAGATCTCTCGTAAAAAAAGAACAAACACAGGAAATGAAAACACACGTTGCTTTTGAGCAACCTTGCCAAATAAGGGGCTAATAATATAGTGCTGTTATAATGTATCATAGTTATATATTTACACAATAAGACACTCAAATTGCTTTTCTATTTCTACTTTAATATCATCTTTTCATAGCTACACGAAAGACACACAGAATGAGTGAACTACAGAACACAGAAGAAAACAGAGATAGGAGACACATATTTGAAAACTAAAATTTAACACAATTAAGTTCACCACCGTCACTTGTAGCGTGCAATTAACATTTCAATTAAGTTCCCGATATTAATGGGCGGCCTTGATCAGTGACAGTGCCCGGACGCTGATGAGGTGATACGGAAAGGACGGACAGGTTTGGAAGCTCATTCTCGTTTGTAGGCTCTTGTAGAGACGACATCTCCGGACTGACAGACCTGCAATGTCAGAAATATAAGATGAGTATTATGTTCATTTTATTCAAAGCATAATTAATGCTTCACTGAAAAGCAGTCTCTCCAAACATTATATATGAATAACTTAAAAAAGAAAAACATGTTCAGAAGAGCACTTTCAAATCAGTTATTTACAAGTCACACTTTACGGAAACTTTAGGCTCCAAGCAGTCTTTCTAGTAATTTCACAAACCAAAATTACAAGAAAATTTGAAGTACTACCGTGTTAATTCCGAGAGGGGAGGGAGAGAGACTGAAAGAACTCAGATTTTAACCCTAGAGGGTTTGTTGAAGTTCTTTATGGTGTCGCTCAGCTCGCAGCTTACCAAACTGCTCTTTGATTCACTCCTGCTAACACTTTTTTTTTTGTCTTTCTAGTTTTATTATTAACAATGCTTTCTTCGCACTTACGCCACATAAAATTTAACAGTAAAATCACAAGTCTTTAAAAACAGCATTTTATGGAATTTCCGAAAGAGTGTTATGTGTTGCTATACATTTTTAGCCTAAAGGGCGATAGTCCAGAAGGGCTATTAATACCTTTTGGGCATTTTGCGTTGATTCACTTTTCAAACTGTTGCCACCAAATATTACAGCCCTGTACTAAAAAAAATTAAATAAAGTAGAATCTGCATAAATGTATATATTAAGAGTATTAATGAAATATGGAACCTGCTTCAATATAGAAAGACAAAATATGTTGGAATAATGTCGTGAAAGCCAGTCTACTATCTTTAACTAAAGATCAATGCTAAAGTGTTATTTTATTAATAATATGTAATAAAATATGAAACAATTTTCAATGAAATATGTTTTTACTACAGATATGTTACAAAAGTAATATTTTATTATCATAATTATATACATAGGATGTAAAATAATCATATATTAAGTTCCTTAAAAAATCTATTATTGTGTGACAGATATCCCATTTAAATTTCATGACAAGTTTTATCAGATTTTTAAATTTGCGCCCTCTTTTTATCAGAAGAAATGTGTCGTGACTCTTATATAATCTATCAAAAACTGCAAGTTATATATATGATACGTTTTAAATTGTTATTGTAAAAAATATATATCTTTAAAAAATAAATTGCGGATTATGTATCAAAATAAATTTTCAAAAATGTTTCATATTATAAAAATTTTACAATGATGAATTATTATAAAAAAGATATATTTTAATGAATAAAATATTTTAATTTTCATAAACAATATCATTTTCAAATATAACAAACCTTCTATTATAAGATGATTACCCCATTTCCAAATGATTCTGGTGCTCCATGAAAGTGATCGGTTAGGGAATTTTATGTAATACTGATGTAAATTTATGTTCAGAGAAATATTATCTCTTTCAGAATTCGTCTTTTACCGTAAAAAGGTACTTTACACAATACAAGTTGTTATATTTCTACATCTTAAGCAGTCAGTATCTAGTTACATAAACTATTTTAGGATAAAAACATTTTTATGAAGTATGAGAAATATTTAAATCCCTTTAAATAAGCTACAAGAAAAATTCCTCAAGAATTTGAAATTTCAGTTACATTCTTCACTCATCTGTACTGAACTTCATATTTTGAAATTTTATTTCTAACTAATAAAAGACATAAAAATTATTAAACAATTTAAAAAAAATCCCCTGTTGAATAATGAGCACCCGATTCGAATCTTGAGAATATTCATATAAACATATTAATTAAAATAAGTAATATTTTTAGAAGTTATATTTTTGCACTAAGAGAACGGACTTTTTCCAATTCTTCAAAACGTTTGTTTGCGTAAAAGTATTCAAGAAAATCATGAGTTATAATTAAAATAATATAAAGAAATGAAACATTTATTGTTGAGAAAATTGTGAAATGGAACGTCGTTTAGATTTTGGTTTTGAAATCCATATCTAATGATATAAGTTTTCCTGAAAACTAGAATTCAGTGTCTTGCTAGATGACAGCATCATGTATTATTTCTACATTTCGAGATTTAATATTCTGTTAGGTGGCATTACTATTGGTGCAGTACAGCAGCGAATGGAATTTAAAAAAATATATGTTTTTTAATTTGTTTATGGTTTACATTTCATATTTTTTCCTGAAAAATATTCACTTTAACAACCGAATGGAAGTAAACAATCAAATGGTATTCTTAGCTGTTTTTTTGTTCTTTTATTTTTGTAGCGGGGGCTGTTTTCTTTCAAAGCTAGAAAATTTATTTACATAATTTTCATTACTGCGGTTAAATACCTACGTAGACATACTGTACTTTCATTACTGCTGTATTTGCGATTCGCAAGTTACCTAATTATAATATATTTAATTAATTAGTTATTAAATATTAAGTAACCGGACATAATGAACAAATTAAAGCTACGTAATTAATACGTGAATAGTTTTCAGGAAGACATATGTTAATTTTGTAAAATAATCCTTTGCTTTTCCAGATTAATGTGAAATAATTTGAAATATTGAAGGTAACTAATTAATTAGTGCTAACTAGAGCTAATTTAATTATAATTAAATATAAGAAATACTGATAGGAAAACTGATTATTCCATAGTTTTGAATTAAAAACCATTTTAGGTTGATAAATATCTGAATCTTTTTTTAGGTTAGGATTTAAAAGATTTGTATTGCAAAAAATGTGCGAACGTTCGAGCTTCCGAACCTTGAATCTTTTCCATGATTCGTAAGCTTCGAAGATTTGAATATTCCATTCCTAGAAATAAAGATTTTCTTTTCCGTTTTCCACATAACGTGTGTGAATTTCGGTTTTTCACATGGATTAGATTTACAAAGCAGACATAGAATGTGTAAAATAGTGGATATAGACGTAATTATTTTTTTGTGGAACCCCTATCATTCTCAGTAAAGTAAATTATACAAAAGACTTGAAAATATATTAATATTATTTATATTAATATAAATAAGATTATTTATATTAATATTATTTTATATTAATATAAATAATATTATTAAGTAAATTATACAAAAAGACTTGAAAAATATATTAATATTATTTATATTAATATAAATAATATTATTTATATTAATATTATTTATATTAATATAAATAATATTATTTATATTAATATTATTTTCAAGTCTTTTGTATAATTTACTTTACTGAGAATGATAGGGGTTCCACAAAAAAATAATTACGTCTATATCCACTATTTTACACATTCTATGTCTGCTTTGTAAATCTAATCCATATGAAAAACCGAAATTCCGAAAAAATAGCAACTCATTGCTTTGTTACGAGCATAAAATTATTCATCCAAGCTGAATAATTAATCATTTAGTAACCCTAATTATTAATCGATAACAATACGTACCACTTTGAGAGTGTCTCCTTCAACTTCTCTGGTGATGGTAACTTCTTTGTCACCGAACTGTTTCTGCACCAGTTTTCCATCTACCAAGTTGACAACAGTCTAAAAAAAGGCAATAGTATTGAATTATTATTCGAAAATTTTTTAAACTTCACATGAAAGAAAAAAAAAAAAATTCTTAACTGTAATGAAATACACATTTGGAAAGTTCTAATTATTTAAATTGCTTTTAAAAAGTCCTGCCTTATGTATATTTAATAAAAACTCGGCTTATATGTATACATATACCCAATTTTTATTGAATTGCAGTCTCTTACCTATTTCGTAGTTACAACTTTTAGGTTGATAAAAGTCTGAATCCTCCTTGATAACAGCTCAAAAAGGTACTGAGAAGTACAAGGGAGTAGTACCTTCAACTACCTACTACGCAATGGTTGAATATAGCATTGGAATAGAGGATTGTATATTGACCGAAATGACATTCCAGACCGTTGCATTAATACTCGACCGAGTTAAGATCAGGGAACTGCGGGAGCCTTAGATATATGTCTGCTATCGGAATGCTTCTTCAGTCATCCGAACGCGTCTACGGTGGTTATCTTTGTTTTGGAACTTATCGATCTTATATGATAAGGTTTCCACTCAGATGTGCATTGATTTACAAATATTAGACATGTATTCTAAATAGCTCTTAAACCAGTGGCGTAGCTAGGATGGGGCAAGGGGGGACATCTGTCCCCGGGAGCAGCACCCAGGGAAGCCAAACTGATGTTATGAAATTTTAGAATGAAACATTTTTGCATTCTGGGCACACAGAAAGGGGCGCAAGATCTTTAGTTGCCCCCGGGCGCTGAAAACCCTAGCTACACCTCTGTCCCACACCATATAATTGCTGTTACCGACGTGGATAAAATTCAACATGTATGCAAAATCATATAAATCTAATACATATCCTAAGTCGCGTTCTCCAGACATGAAAAACGCAAGCTAAATTTCGTCAATTGGTTCAGTAGAACGGGAGATATAAAAATGTCGCCCTCTTTTTTTTTTTTTTTTTTTTTCTTTTCTTTGTGCAGTGTGCATCTATTAAGCAAAACTAATAAAGAAGACATTTGTGTAATATTACTGTCAAATTGCTTAACATGTGAGCAACTATACCTTTATTATATCTTTTTCTGTATATAGACGTAAAGTATCTAAAGTTAAAATTCAGTTGGAATCAAAGCTAGACAATTTCTCAACAATATTAATAAAAGCAAACGTGTATAAGAGATTTAACACGATATCTAAACATATCAAAATTAAAATAAGAATTCAGTTATAGAACAAAATCGAAAAATAAAAATGCGAAAATGAAACTTTAATTCATTTTCCCCTGATGAGTTCTGAATTGGAGTTTAAGTAAAAGGAGATTATTTTTTATATTTTTGTATAATTTTTGCTTTCGCCTTTTCTTCTTTATAATTTGTATATTTTTCTATTTCGCAATTTTTTTTTTTTTTTATAATTTTAGATATTTTTCTTTTTCGCAATTTTCTTTTTCAAATTTGTGAATTTGTTCTATTAATGAGTTCTTATTTTAATTTTGATATGTTTAGATATCGTGTTAAACCCCCTTATACACGTTTGCAATTATTAACATTGTTGAGGAATTGCCTTGCTTTGATTCTAATTTAAATTTAACCTTAGATGCTTTAAGTTTATTTTACTTCAATCGTACACCTTTACCGCAGGATGGGGTCAAAATTTTGTTTTAATTTTTAGTCTATTATTATGTTTATATTTTTGTATGTATATAGAAATACATATTATATATTTATATATTCATTTATTTTCAAAAAAAAATGTAATAATCTGCAATTAAAAAAAGTTAAAAATTAAAAAAAACAAATTTAAATTCTTTCACATGTTTTATAAATGTTTACGAAGTACACGATAAAAACTCTTGCTACTGCGATTATTTTGGAGAAAAAATTGAAATAAATAATTTATTGAATGTTTCTCTTACAGAATATTTTTTTTTCCCGGAAAGGCTTATCGCAATCATCTGAAACAATACCTGTAAAATGTACTTTATCTGTAAGAGATAGGAAAGAGACTAAGCCTCGCGTATGTTAAGATAAATAAAAACAAAAAGCTTTTAATTGAACAAAACAAAGAAAGAAACTGAAACGGAGAGAAACTGAATGAAAAATACGTATAAGCATGCACCTGCTGGTTCATTAGGAGATAACCAAAAGCTACATTTCAAGTGATACTCGTAATTTATTTTTTGCTGTTATCTTAAATCACTGAACATTTAAAGGAATTTTATATTGTACTAAATAGAAATATTTGGAGGGGAAAGTGTGAGAGTGAAGAAAATTAATTACGAAAAAAAAATCATCTATTTCTCACTTTAATTTTCCCTGATATAAGTGAAGCTCTACTATGATTATGATCGTCTGAAATTTTATAGTTTCCCTGTCAAAAATCTACAGGATATTCTTGAATTTGAAAATTAAAGGCCAACTAAAATTTTACACGAAATTGTGCTGCTGAGTATAAAGGTTATTCTGAGCCAAACTTTGTAAGTTACGGAATTGATATAGTTTTTGAATAGCAATATAGTTTCCAGAGTATCCTAAAATTAGACGAAATCTTTGATTGTAACTTTTGTACTACGATGTAACAGTTATGTTAAAAAAAGTATTAGATTACGGAAAGAGTTTGCAATCGGAAGAAGAATAGTGTTAGTTACAGTATAGTTAGTTGACTGGTTAATTTATAATATTTCTCCCTTCTTCTTGGCATGCCTTCGTGGTGTGGTGGTCTGCACACTGGGCGCGTATTCCAGAGGTTCGTAGTTCGATTCCCGGCGAAGGCGTTGCTTATTTTTCACTTTTCCTGCTTCCAAAAAGTACCTAATGTCTCTACAATGCCGCCCGAACTAAGAGGGTGGTGGATGATGAATCTCCACACCCGGGATTTGGCGATTGGGTCCCCTAAAAACCTTTTAGTCGCCATTTAAAAGGGGGAGTATATATCCCTCCTTCTTAGCGTGCCTTCGTGGTGTTGTGGTCTGTAATACGCTGGGCGCGTATTCCAGTGGTCCGTGGTTCAATTCCCGGGAAAGGCGTTGCATATTTTTCATCTTTCTGGCCTCGAAATAACCTAATGTCTCTACAAATTGATTACGGCAAAGGATGTGAGGATGATTTGTTAGGAGGGATATTTTCATGGAGCACTTTCTAAGGTAAGTTAACTATTTAACGTTTACACACGAAGAAAACCATGAAAACGCCCATGTAGCTAATTCGTCCGCCGGGATTGGCTGTCGGTAAACCTAGCGACATATAAATGCCTTGAGATCTTCAACTGTTTCATTTAATACTATCCTATTATCTTTTACGGGAGCTTGCTATTCGTGTACAAAGATGTCTTAATTAATTTATAAATTAATGATGTAATTATTCATGCATAATTCCTCATCGTGGGATTACTTGGGGGATGACATTCAGTAGGTTTTATTGATTCAAGATGATTTCATTTACCACAGTTTTCTCTTAAAAGTACTACATTTCACAGTATTTTTTCCCTTTCTTTATCAACGATATTTAGATTTACGTTCTGAATTACCAGGTCAAATGCATATGAAAGAAGGGTTAAAAAACCATAAAGATATGGTATAAGAATCATCTCACTGTCATAGAGATTATTACCATGATGCAACCATTTTTTAGTCTTCGCTTAAAAGTTTGAACAGCAACATCATTTAGTTAAATTCCTTAGATATGAAAGCCTCTTTAAACTATCAAATAAAAACATAAAATTCTCACCTTGACTGTGTTTCCGTCTAGCCTCTTTTCTTCGAATTCCTGGCCAAGCTTGAATCGAATTTCGGAGTTCTTGAAGGCGATGGTCTTGATGAGGTACTCGTCACCTTCCTGCTTGATCTCAACTGTTGGCTTCGAGTTCTCAGCCAACTTGCGGGTCACCATGGACACACCTGGGGAATGAAATGGTGGAATGAGTAAGTGATGGATAAAGACATTATGAAATAAAATTATGCTGTATGTCTGTTCATTGAATATAAAAAAATTACAATTAATAGAGCCATTCCAGCTCAGAAATATTTTTCTTTCTATGCACCTCATCTCAGAAAAATAATACTCGACTTAATAATCATAATTAATCAGCCTAACTGATTATATGCTATTAGACTCAGATCAATAAATTACAACTTTTTAAGTTTTTAATTTCTTTGGAAATATTCTTTGTTTAGGATGAAAATTTTAAAGTTTAAGGAATGGATGAAGAATCATAAGGCTGTATTTAGATTCCATTTCTAATTAAATCAGGTTTAAACTCATGAAATTCTATCGTGTGAAAAGTGAAAATAAAAAATAGAGGAAAAATAGCTTATAGGAAATTATCATCTTTTCTTAGGCAGACTATAGAGCTGTAGTACTAAGTTAGGTTGTTTGAATATCGCAAAGCACACAAGGTCTATCAGCCTTAAGTGGAAGGATGCCCTCATGGAGGACTTTATAGGAAAAATTGGCTCGTGTTCATGCAACACAATCAATCACGAAAAAATTGGGGAAAATCACGAAAAGGATCTAAGCAGCTGACGTGCAACGGTGTTTAAAGATACCCCGAGTGCCTGGGCCCAGTGCCTTACCCCAAATCGAAGGATTAAAAATTTCGAAATTATATGCTTAATAATACGTTGAGAAATAAGAGAACAAATTTACATTAGCAGCTAGTCCGGAATCAAAACCGCGTCAAACTTTCAGGATTCAGCGGTGTGATCCCTTCGTGGAGATTAAATTCAGTTTTGTTTTTATTAGACGTTTCGTTGTCTACTATAAAATTTGTATTGAATTCGTCTCTGATTTAAAGACCTAGAAGAAAAATACCATGAACTATTTCATGAATTTAGTTTCTTTGCAAAAAGAATGAAAAATTAATTATCTAACAATCTCGTCGAAACTTAAATGAACATTAACTTTTTAGGGCTGAAATGGGATATATATATCCCAGCCACTTCTTATATTTCAGATGGTCAAATAAGCTCATTTTTACTTGTTTTGGATTTTAGAAGAAATTGAAGTCTACTTGTGCTATTTTTAAACATAAAGATTTTTTAAGGGCTTCTAATATTCATTTATTATTATGATAAATTGATCTGTTAAATAAACATAAAAATACTATTGTAACAAGTAAAAATACTATTATTTTGATACTGTGCACGCATAGGACGCATGTGTTCCAGTGAGCTTTTTTAAACCGGTTATTTGCATCTGAGCAGTATTTTTAAGCAAAAGCAATAGGAAATAAATCTAGACCGAACACGAGTTCTTAACTGTCTATTTGGAAGAATTTAGAAGAATGGCAGTTTCCAATCTGAAACAGTCTCAATGATTAGTTCATTCGCAATTTTGAACCGACTGCGAATGAAACAAATAATTTGGACTCGTCGGAGCTAGATCCGAGTTAAGTTAAAAAGGATGTATTCGTATGCAATGTAAATTGGACATTAAATTCTGTCGTATGCTCTGAATAATGTAAATATGTCATAAACTGTCATATCATTTCTCTTTTGAGTCATTGCATTAATGGATGTTAATGGATTGCGTTCCAACTCTGAAACTACTGAATGTGACGAATTTCGAACACCCACCCGAAAATACTGATAAAGTGCATGTTTCCTTGCCTGTCATAAGAGATACTTAACTAGCTAAATATAGAATTAAGACTTTAATTTAAAGAAGCGTGTTAAGAGCCCTTTTTAATTATTAATGAATGACACATATAAGTATTTCTTGCATGCAGAGTCTAATTGAAAGTTTTATTAAAGTTTCATTCGTGTGTTAGCGCAATGAATTCATGGAAATGAGATGATGCCATTAAAGTCCATGGCATGGACATTAATTAAGTGATCTCGGAAACAAGAGTATAGGTGGTAACGTTGGAGTATAGGTCTAATACGTTTAATAGTTTATAATATCTACTCCTATTGCAAATTTATATTCAAATTTTTGGTCCATAGTTCTTTTTGCTCAGAGTTGAAGTTTCTTATCTTCTTTCGACACAGGCCAAAGATTATAGCTTTCGAAAGTCTTTCCCAAATGCAGCGGATGTGAAAGCTTAAGATGTTCACTACTGCAAATATGATTTACTTATTTATTTTTTGCTTCGTTGTCACTTGAGGGGGATAAAATGAAAAATGGTGGGGAAGGAGACTTAGAGGTATCTTATCGGGCACTCGATGCGCTTTTACCCTCCCCCTACCAGATAAGGATGGAGGAGGTCAGAGTGCATGAATTCGATCCTTAACACTGTAGATAACCTCTGTGTGTTATCGAGGGCTTAAGGTTCATTTTCCGTTGTACCCTGGCAACGCCCTCTCCTAAAACCTGCCCTCTTTTTCCCGCCACCGACCAAAGTACACGCGCTTGGAAACGTATCTTTATTTGCAATGAGATAATATAAGTAACAGAAATATGGATTAAAAAACTAAATGAAAAAAAAATTCTCCGCACAAAGCTTTTAAAATTAATAAGTTATTATTATTTTTTTAAATACAGCAATATTTCGCATACTCGAGTACTCTCTTCCACCAAATTGAGTTAAATGAAGAAGGAATTAAACATGTACAAAAAATAAGAACTGGTGGGAATTGTTTTCTCTGTTTTTCAATAAATAGATGGCAATAAATAAACTGTTAGAATAATTTTTAAAAATTAACAATTTTCGTAATTCATTTTATGTTCTTTAAAAATTGCAACATCGATATGAGCACATTTTGTTTCTTCTTTCGCGTATTCTCTTCATACTTTACTTTATAGTAATGAACTGCATTTTTCATCCTTTAATGAACTGTAAGATCACGTTCAATATTAGTATTTAAATTATTTCTCGAAAATATAACGCTTTTTTGTCTTCCATATTTTGTTAATGTGTGACAATTATTTAAAACCTTCCTTTTTTTTCCTAAAATTTTGTTGACAGATTATATATTACCTTTTTTTATCATTGTCGTGTGCTTAGGATTATACATAAGAAACACATTTTTTTAAAATTTAATTTTTAATAAATCTGGTACATAGTTATTGAATTAATCATTGAGATCGAAATCATCAAACACGTTCTTGATGCAGACAATCTATTTCGTATAATAAAGTTTTCCAGAGTAATAGGTGTGCTTATAGTAAGTAAGTCGATTGCTACGTGTGGGACATTTGTATCGCATCATTAACTATGCCTGGGATATAGTATGTGTCCCAGCCTTTGGCCTTTGTCAGAAAAATCCCAAATGCTACATTTACCTTATTTATGACATAATTTGTTCACTTGGATAGGAAACGGGTTATTTATTAATTTTTTTTAAAAAATTTCGTTGGCAGAGGCTTTACACTTAATTATATTTGTGCTCCTCAGGACTCCAAGACACAAGTTAAATTGTTCTTTCAGAATGCAGAAAGTATCCGCCATTGGTCTGCAACATTAATTTTATGGTAATCTAATGGCTAATATATCGATTACTTGCACGTTACTTTTATAGCTTTAGCCTCTGCATTATATTAATATTAGAATGTTGAAATAAGGCAAAAAGTAACCTTAATTTAGCTTAGGTTTGGAATAAAGTATTATAGATTTGAAGTCGTCGATTCTACATTGACGTGTTTCTCCTTCCATTAAATTAAGAAGCTGTTTAGAATAAATTCGAAAACTGAAAGTAAGTTGAACTAAAATTCGATTGCGAATAATTATCATTTTTTAAAGTTTAGATATTTTATATGTAAAACGTGTTGCTGTTGTTATTGTGACTTATCTCACTTGTCTGACAGAAACATCAGCACAAGTCCACGAAATTCATTGTGGCAAGGAGTACAAGATTTACGCTTGTCATTGGCAAGAGCCTAGAGCACAGTACAGGTGACAGTACGACTTTCGCCCCCAATTCAGTTTCGCCCCCAATTTTGATGGAGAGCACCCCGGGTGAACGGGCCCGAGGGTCTTCTACTCCCTCTTTCCCTACCACAAACCTCTCGAGAGGACTTTCGGCTCGCAGCATATTTAGAGTGTCTCAATGTCGCACTATACATTTAAAATCATCCATGCCTTCTCTGGGATTCGAACGCAAGCCCTTCACTACGGCAGTCAGCATCGCTAACCACTGTCGCTGTTGGGCAGCGGCAAACTTGTTACATAAGGATATGAATGTTGTTGTTATTGTTTTGTCCATGTATTTTATGGAAGAATGGTTACTAGAGCCTCAAGGAGGCTGGACTTCTAATTCCACTCCAATTTTGATGGAAAGAACCCTGGGATGGGTCGAGGGTCTCCTACCACCAAACTACACGAGAGGACTTTCGGCTTGCCATTTATTTAGAGTGTCTTTATGCCGCAAAGACCCTATACATTTATAAACATTTAAGCCTTCTCCGGTATTCGAACCCGGGCCCTTCGATACCGCTTCCCTAACCACTTCAAATTAATATTGTCTGGGTGGCAAGGATATGAATAAAACTGAAAAATAAACATGGAAGAAGTTTGGATATGAATATTAAAAATAAGAAAATGTTAAGAAAAATGGGAAAAAAAAACTAATTTTGAGAATTCTTTGGATAATGCTGGGCAATATTAAAAACGACCGTACCTTCAAACTCCGAACTCTGAGTACTTTTTAATGTTTTCCCGAAACATCCAGGCAGCTGAACTTTTCTTGTTTATGAATAATACTAAATGCTATATGTTTTCTACATTGCAATGAAAGGGCATCCTTTTGTCTTTATTTTTTATAACTTTAAACACTGTAAATGACACTGTAAATGAAATGATGTAATCTTCTCCTATGCATGGTACTGACGACAATGCATATCATGAGAATCCAAGTTGTAGTAACAAAAAGGTGACAAAATAATGAATCACGATCTTAAAATAAAATCTATGTTAAAGATGGTTTTTAAGGATGTGCAAAATGATAAAATTAATCTTATT